CAATCTATTTTTAAAAAATATATTGTATTGATTTTTTTACAGAGAGGAAGAGAGAGGGATAGAGAGTTAGAAACATCGATGAGAGAGAATCATCGATCAGCTGCCTCTTGCACACCCCCTACTGGGGATGTGCCCCCCAACCAAGGTACATGCCCTTGACCGTAATCGAACCCGGGACCTTTCAGTCCGCAGACCAATGCTCTACCACTGAGCCAAACCGGTTTGGCAAGTCTTGGCTCTCTTGATGGCTCAGAAACCTGTGTCTTCATAGACCCACAGCAGGGTGGGCCACGCAGTGTGGGGATATTGGGAAACCAGTGATAATAACACTTATTCCGTGGTACTTAGTACCTGCTGGCACTGTTTAAATGCTTTCCGTGATCTAATTTAATCTCCACAGCAACCCTGTGTAGCAGGTTCACTGTTTTATAGATGTGAAATCTGAGACACAGGGACATGGTTTGCTCAAGGTCATCCGGCTCGGAAGTGGCAAGGCCAGGCTCCTCCCTGCTGTGAGCACTTGGGCTTCGGGGACCCCAGGCACCCACAGCCACGTGCCCCAGGCAAGTTACCGGCTCTAAACGCCTGTTTCATCACTGAAACAGGGACTTATATCTACTTCGTAAACGTGTAAGGATCATGCCGGATAATCTGTTGAACACTGAATCTGTAGCAAGAGTAAGTGAAATTTAAAATGTAAATGTTGAGAAATTGGCATGACTCACACTGAGCCATGGCAACTCAGTGCCTTTTCCTCTGGTTGGGGGAGGGGGAGAAGGGGACGGAAGCGACAAATGTCTGTTCCTGGTTTCCGATTGTCTGAGGGGCTGGGCCCGGACTGGTTACCTTCAGGAGATGAGGCCATTAGTCGTCACGGAGCCCAGTTTTAGAATGAGACTCCGAGCCGCTTCCTGCGTCGGTGGTTGTATTGGAAAAGGGGTGTCAGCTCCAGGGGAGAGAGGGCAGTGCCGTCTGTTTTGAGTTGATGAGTAATTGCCTCCAGGCTCACGGAGGGATCCAGGTCCTGCAGAGAGAGTCCTGAGGACACGGGCTTCACAGTCACTCCAGGCCTAGCACTGCATGCGGCCTTTTTGGTTTGTCTTACAGCCCTTCACCTACTGCCTCCGTGCTCACAGGGAAGACAGTCATATTCAGGAGCCACTCTGGTGGCTCAGGCCCGCGTTTGTGGACTTGAGGGGACAGCGCAGCCCCAGGACGTCTGGGTCCGAGCTGTGACATGGGGAAGGATGTCCTGTGCATCTCCCTTCGGCGCGGCCTGAAAGTCCTCCAGCCCCGGGTCCGGAGCCCTGGGCTTCCCTGAGCTGAACGCCTGCCCAGGGGCTGGCCCAGCAGCGCTGTGTCGGCGGGCACTGTGGCAGCACAGGCTCTCCCCCTCCCCCTGCGCCCCTCTGCCCCTCTCGCCCCTCTGCCTGGGCACAGGCCTCGCTAGAGGAAGCCCCGCTCTCCCTGGGGAAGCCCGGCAGAGTCCTGCTCTTAGGAAACCGGTTTTGTTACGGGGCGGTGGAGGAGCCAGCTGGAGGCCATGGTTTTTCTACAATGTGGGCCTTCTCTTAGGTGTGGGATTGTCTGCGGCTGCATTCTGTGGTCAGTAAGGGTTGGCACCTGAGGGAGACCTTACTGTCTCAAAACAGGTGATGCTGACAATCTCAGAGGGAAGAATACAGAATTAAAACTCACACCAAGGTGTCTGCCTGCATCCATCCCATCCCTTCCCTCCTCTCCCCACCAGTGGGCAGGAGATGGGTGTGAACGGGATAGTAAAGTCTCATGTCTCTTTAATTCCCAGTCTTCTCTGGTGCTGAGCCTCGGGGATGGCAGGCACCACGTGTGGTCAGTGCCCTGAAGGAGGAACGAGGCACATTTCTCTCCTGAAATTGAAACTCAGGTCATTTGACTCACTCATTAAAACTGGTCTTGACTGCTCCCTGCATAGCTGCCTTGTGTTCCCAAGGCCCTCAGTGCTGCCGGGTCACACAGACAGCCAAGCGTTACTAATCCTCTGGGAAGCCAGCGGTTGGGGCGATCAGGGCCTCGGAAAGCTCCTGATAACTGGATTTCGGTCTCCGATCGCTGATAACGTTTTTAATTTGGGCTTGGAGCCGGGCCCTCCGGGGATGAGTGCAGCTGTTGTTCTAAACCGAGTTCAAGTAGACTTGGCCCAAACAGGCACAGCGCCGCCAGCCTTGGCGTCTTTTCACGCTGTAATGTGAGCAAAGTCCTTAAGTTCTCGTCAGCCATGTATCACCTGCGTGATTTTCCCTACGGCTGAGAACCAGCCGAAATCTTACTGCTGTTCTTCAAGTGCATTCATTATTGTACGTAAATCGGTTTTGCTGCCGTAAGTGGAAAATGAGTATAATTGTCCATAATTAGAGGTCATAAAGCAGATGCAATGTAACAAGTGACCAGGTTTGCCTGCATTGGGGCCAGGCGCTGAGCCGGGCCAGCCTCCTTCTCCTAACGGACTGCCTAATGCTCGCTCCCAGGCGACTGCCCACCTCTGAAAGCTCTGGCCTTCGGCAAACTCGTTCCCTGACAGTCTGTGTAGGAATTCAGCACTGGGCTGGCTGGCCTTGTGTGAAAACTCCTTTGGGAGGTGAGTCAGGAGAGCAGGAAGGAGGGTGATGCTGTCCTTACACCCAGGACGTGGTCCCCTGAGGGACGGGCACACTGTTGAGAAGACTTGATGATGGTTTAGATTTGTTTGTTTCTTTGTTTATAGCTCATTTCCCAACTCCCTCCCTTTGGCAACCATCAGCTTATTGTCTGTATCTATGGGTCTGTTGCCGTTTTGTTTATTCACTTGTTTTAGATTCCACATATTAGTGAGATCATCTGCTCTCTACCTTTCTCTCTGTGACTTATTTCACTTGACATAATATCCCCTCGGTCAGTGGTCGGCAAACTCATTAGTCAACACAGCCAAGTATCAACAGGACAACGATTGACATTCCTTTTGAGAGCAGAAAACCGACTTCTGCACATGGGCCACAGCGTTTCAGTCGCACTGTATGCGCGTGCCTGCACGTGGTATTTTGTGGAAGAGCCACACTCAAGGGGCCAAAGAGCCGCATGTGGCTCAAGAGCCGAGGTTTGCCGAACACTGCCCTAGGTCTAATCCATGTTATCACAAATGATAAGATTTCATTTTTTTTGTGGCCGAGTAATATTCTATCCTCTCCACATCGTCTTTATCCGCTCATCTTCCATGGCATCTGGATGCTTCTCTATTGTGGCTGTTACTAGTGACGGAGCAGGGAGCTTTTGGGGTGTGTATCTTTTCGAATTAGTGGTTTTGTTTTCTTCGGATCAATACCCAGAGGTGAAATTGGTGGACTGTTTGGCAGTTTTGCTTTTACATTTTCGAGGACCTCCATACTGCTTTCCACGGTGGCTGCCCCCATTGACAGTCCCACCAGCAGTGCACAGGGTTCCCTTCTCTCCCAGCCTCGCCGGCAGTGTGGCTGGTTTGTGATGGCAGGTGTGAGGTGTCTCTGGGGCTTACTTCACATTTCCTGGAGAAGGGAGGTTGGGTGTGTCTTCATGCCTGTTTACCCCTGTCCCCTCCCCCACTCTCACCCCTTGTATGTCCTCTCCTGGACCCAACCCTCAGTGTAAACCTGCTTGGCCCAGAGCAGCCACCCACAAATACTGCTTCAGAGTACTAAGCCCACTCTGCTCTCCTGGTTGGAGATCTGATCCTGGGGACCACAGGTGGGGAACAGGTGGGCAAGAGAAGCAAGACTGGACAGGAGTTTGAAGGGCAGAGTGTACACGTGTGCGCACACACGCACACACACACGGGCACATGTGTGCACACAGGAGCACATGCATGCACATATGCAATAGCTCCGAAGAAATGTGAAAGCAGTAGGTCCTTTGACCAAGCCTTTGACCTTAGAACAGGCTCAAAAATGCAAACCATCCCCCTGGCTGGTTTTCTCAGTGGTTAGAGCATCAGCCTGTAGACCAGTCATGGGTTCAATTCCCAGTCAAGGGCGCGTACCTCGGTTGCAGACTCAGTACCCAGCCCTGTCTCTCACATCAATGTTTCTCTCCCCGGCTCCCTCCCCTCCCCTCTAAAAAGTAAGCGCCCCCCTTTCTTGTGCATAAACATCACCTGGAAGAGCCTGTGCAGTGAGTGGTTTCAGCAGCTCCCCCCTCGGGTCACAGGAAGCAAACCTTCCATTTCCGGGAGAGAGGGGCTGCTCTGAGGCGCTTCCTGCTGCTGCAGGTCTGCGGTTTCCTCAGCCAGGCCTGGGCCGTGCATTCCCCTGCGGCTCATGGGGCCATTGTCCCTCTGGTATTGATTTGCCTCACGCCTGCTGCTCTGGCGATCCCAGCGCCTCGGGTTCTATTTCTAAAGAACAGACCAGAGCAGCCGGTCCTCGGGGCTGTGATAGCAGGAGTGGGAGTGCAAGCGGGCTGCTGTTTCAGGTCTGAAAGCGACACTGCCTCCCTCAGACCCGCTTCCCTGAGGGGCTCGGCCTGGCCTGTGCCAGGTTGCCTTTCCAGAAACATGAGCCGCGGGCATCCCCAGGTTGGCTAAGCAATACCAACCCTTCAGCTCATTGCTACCCGATGGGTGTTCTCAGAGCTTTGAGGCTGGTTTTTAAATATGGCTGAGGACGGACGTGGGCAGACCCTGAACCCAACGGCATGTGCCTGCATCCTTTACCCAGCCTCAAACCTAAACTGTTTTCTTAACTGTGACAACTGGGCTTTGTGTGAAGCACCAGCGGGAGCCAGGGAAGGAGCACCCCCCTCACCCCCCGTCTGACTCGCGAACCCTCCCTCCCGCCCGCCGGGGCCTGCCTCCAGCAGCCCACCTGTCTGGGGGAGGGGCGAGCGCGGGCCCGTGTGACCCCCACACTGAAGCCATGCCCGTCTTTCAGGTCCAATATTTCTTCAAGATCCTGGACAACTAGCCGTGGAGACGGGGGAGCCGGCGCGCAGACGAGGGACTCAGGCACGGAGGAGCACGTTCATTCTTTTATTGTCCACTGTTTGAACCTGACCGAGTACAAGATCAACAAGGCGCTGCAGTCCTGCGCGATACACACGGGGACATGGAGGTGGCTGCGGACAGCACGGACACCGTCTATGGGCTAAAACTGCGTTGCTTTTATAAAGTCCAAAATAAAGGTTTATTTTTCAAACAAGTGACTTTGGTTTATTTCATACATTACACTTTTTTTTCTTGCAGGAAAAAATAAAATAAAATTGTACAACTGCATAAATATAAAATTCTTCCACCATGACAATGGTTAACACATTCATGAAGACACAGCACCAGCACGTGATGCCTCAGAGAGAAAGGAAAGGAAAACGCTCAAAGCCAAGCCCGGGCTGACCCTGGCCAGCGCGGGCGAGCGGGGGCAGGGCGAGGGCAGGCCGGCGCTCCCCAGGCACAGCACACCCCTCCCGTCTGTCCGGTGCCGCTCCGCGCAGCCCCCCCCCCGGCCCCCCGCCCGGGGCAGAAAGGCCCACCACCACGGGAGAGAGACCATGGAGTGTGAAAACGCTCGCAGGCGGGCCTTCCTCTTGGAAAGAGCCACCCCCCACCCCCGGGAGAAGGACATGCCAGTGTCATTCCCGATGCATATGTACACCTTGGACAGCGAACTTGCTCACACGAAGTAGAAAACAGAGACGATAAAACATGGCTTGAGAGTGACGGGCGGGCGCGCCCACGGGGACGCGCACGGACGGGGACGCGCACGCAGCAATGCTCGGGGCGGGGACGCTGCTCGCCAGGGTCAGTATGGAATCATAATTTACAGTAAAAATGGGCACGTCCCAAGGCTCGATTTGTTATGTTTTCTCTTTTGTCATTTACAGTAGAATAAATATTTTTTTTTTGTTGCTATTGCTACACTTTTTTTAAATTTACATTCTAACCTATGAGATGCGGAGAAGCTAGTGTGAAGCATAGAGATTAAGTGTAGGTCCCATACGTAATGACAGTTTGTTCAAGACTAGTAGGTTTTTTGTATCTTTTTTTTTTTCTCTTAACTCTTTAAATGGCTAGTGGGAAAGGTTTTGTGCTTGTGATCAGCTCTTAACTTCAATCTTTACATCGAAGCGTCCCATAAAGCGGTCTTTCTCACTGTACCCAATGTTCTCCCCGTACGCCTTACACTCCACGCGGACCTCCGTGTCCATGGTGAGGTTGGTGAACTGCACGGCCAGCAGCGGCTGCAGGTACTTGGGCTGCAGCAGCTTGCCGTAGTAAGGGTAGTACTGCAGCGGGAAGCCGGGGTAGTTGCCCAGGCTGAAGTACTCCACGTTCCCAACCTTATCCTTGTCCTCGTCCCGCTGGAAACGGAACGGAAATGACACGTTAGAGGCGCGGGGACCGGCCGGGAGCAGGCGCCCTAACCCTGGAGGGCACCGGGACGGGGTCTCACAGGCAGCACCAGGGACTGTCTGAAAAGCCGCCTGGAGAAACGGTCCCGTCGGAGGCGATTGTCCCGCCCACGTGGGAACAGCGCCCGCGGTGCTGCTCCCTCAGCACAGGCCTGAGGGCAGGGAGGCCCGGGAGGAGCAGCCAGCTCCCGGACACGGCTCCTCACGGGCCTTTCCTCCCAGGAGAGGTGTCCACGGCCTCTCCCCGCTGCAGGGCCTGGGGACGGGGCCCCTGGCTTCTAAACAAGCCACCAGGCACCTGCTCTCAGATCTACAGGGAGCATGTGCTGAGTGTTCCCCTGAATCTGCCAATACTTTTAAAAGAAAAACCAAAGATAATTTTTTCATGTGAAATTTTAAAATATATATATATATATATATATATATATATATATATATATATATATATATGTTGGGTTGGCCCAGAGACTCACTACAGACTGATTAAAAAATAAAATAAAAAATGTTGGGCTCAAACTATTCTCTCCCCCAACGGGACCAGAGCTGCCCGTGTGGGCTGGTCCACCTCTCAGCTCCACAGGCCATATTCCTTCCACTGGTCAAACCCAATTTCCCGCCTCCTCCTCCTCCGGGGGGAATGACACCCGGTTTCACTCTCATGACATCTTTCTGTTCTTCTAAGAAGTTCTACCCCATAGAGCTACCGCTTGACTGAGCAATGTTTCTTATGTCCCGTATGAGAGTTTTACCTCTAATTCACACAGCCTCCCTCAGTCCCTGTCTCCCCCCGCCCCGCCCGCCATGCCCTGTTCCCCCCCCGTAAGGCCCAGGCCTCACCTTGCCGGTGCACTGGACGGGCAGGACATAGGGGTTGTACTTCAGCATTGGAAGACCCTCCAAGGTCTCGTTCTTGGGAGGCTAAAAACGAAACCCACACCGGTCAGCAATTCTGTAAATAACTTTCAATGCTCCCTCCCTCCAGCATGCCGTCCCCTTCCTCCCCTCCAGTGGGGGCACTGCCCGGGGCATCCCCACCATGAGGGACGCCCCGTCTGCACACGGGTAGGGGGCCCTGCCCTGAAGGACGGGGTCCATCCTCGAAGGGGCCGGCACGCTTTGAAAATGACTCCCCGGAAGCGATGTGCACCCTCAGCCTCACATGCAGTCAGGCAGGGAGGCCGCCGGGCCGCACGGCAGGGACACTCTGGCCTAGCCACCGTGGGAGACCAGAAAGGAATGATCTAGACTGGAGCTCCCTGCCAGCACTCCCTGCAACATCAAAACAGGAAGGCATGCCGAAACCGTTTGGCTCAGTGGAAGGAGCGTCGGCCTGTGGACTGAAGCGTCCCAGGCTCGATTCCGGTCAAGGGCATGGACCATAGTTACGGGCACATCCCCGGGGGGGGGGGGGGGGGGGGGGGGTGTGCAAGAGGCAGCTAATCAATGATTCTCTCTCATCGATGTTTCTCTCTATCCCTCTCTCTCCTCTCTGTAAAAAAATCAATAAAATATATTCAAAACGAAACAAAAAAATAGGAAGGCAACACTGGCAGACAGAGGGTCAGGTTCCAGAAATGACGTGAGCTCTGGCCATGACTGGGCTGCTCCGCTGTGGACCCCATCAGGACGAACACGGCCCTCACGGCAATGGCGCCCTCGCAGGCGGACGGGGATCCCGCAGGCGGCCCCGTGCTCGTGGAGGGGGGGTGGGGGGGCAGCGTTAGCCGTTCACGGGAGAACACCATCACCTGTTCTATAAAAGCAGAGGCACCTGCCACCCCTCAGACCCCAGGACGGCCCTCCTCGCAGGCTCGAGCCAACAGCCTCATCATCAAGCTCCACTCAGAGGGTGTTCAACGTTAATTCTGCGAGGGGATCCTTGTTCGGGAAAATAAACCGTTCTTTCAGGTGACCGGTTAGTCTCCATGGACGGAGACCAGCGAACGCTCTATGCGCAGGTCGCTTGCAAATTTAATATCCTTTCCTATTTCTACTCGGGAAGAGTTCACGCTATAAAAGCCGTTCTCTGGCGCTGAGTACAGGGTGCAGAACAGTCACCCGCTGGCCTGCGACACCCCCTATGCCCCGAACCCCTGCAGAAAGCCAGACCGAGGAGAAGCTGCGGAATCACAAGGCGGGCGCCGAGGTTTCCGGCTGCTCCCCTGGCTGCGCCTCTCGGCCCTCGCCGGTGCCCACTGGCTCTGCCGCCCGCTCCCCGCCCGTCCGCGCCCACCCGGGGGGAGGGGGACTCGCCTTGGGTTTGAAGCCCAGGATGCGGTTGAGCTTGATGAAGACACAGGGCTTGCCGTCCTTGTAGCCGTACGATTCGTCGTTGATCCCAGAGCAGTTGCCCAGCCACTCGACCTTGAACCTGCAGACCTTCCGCTGGCCGGGGTCGCTGTCGAAGGCGCCTCGGTCTTTGTAATCGCTGGGCACATCTGCAAAGGCAAGCGCGTGGTCACCCGGTCCCCCGCGGCCGCAATGCCGTGGCCGGGTTCGGCCCGGTCCCCAGCACACCGGTGCCGGCACCGACCCCACCGGGCCCGGTGAGGAGCTCCTGGCAGCTGGTCTCTGGCAGTATTTCTCCGCCGTGAATAATGGATGACTCAGCTGCGGGAGCCCGGGGGGAACCGGATCGCCCGCCACAGCCCGGCCCTCGGAGGGGGCGGCACGGTGAGAACCCAGGCCGGGAGGGTCCCTCCTCCTCAGGACTCGGAGGTCTGGGGTCAGGCCTTCCTGGGGCCGTGCCTCTGACCCGCAGGTTAAACAGGAAAGAGGGAAGACATTGGTTTGCTCCCTTTTCCACCGCCACACACGGTTTTCTAAAAACCTCCTTTTGGCTTTGAGTTCTTTGCCTTTCACAGCTGAGGGTTCTTACAAATTCTTTCAAATGAGAAGTTTCGTTGGAGCATTTTTCTTATTCCTCATTCCAAACCCAGGGAAAGAAGAAAAGAAATATAGATTTCAAAGCCGATACAAAACATCCTGCAGAATACTGAGGCAAATATAATTTATGTTTCTTTTCTTTTTCTTTTCTTTTTTTTTAAATATATTTTGTTGATTTTTTTACAGAGAGGAAGAGAGAGGGGTTGAGAATTAGAAACATCAATCAGCTGACTCTTGCACACTCCCTACTGGGGATGTGCCCGCAACCAAGGTACATGCTCTTGAGCGGAATCGAACCCAAGACCTTTCAATCCGAAGGCTGACGCTCTATCCACTGAGCTAAACCAGTTTCGGCTATATTTGTTTTCAAGGTCACAAACGAACTGTTTTCCCCTTCCCATCATAGCGTGCTCAGTTCAATCCATCAGGCCTTCTAAGTTACTGCAAAGTGAGATGAAACCCTTTAAATTCTAAAGAGAAAAACCTAGGGAAACGTCCCTTTAAACGAGTGAATCTCCCTAAAGGACGTACAAGGGCAGCCAACCCCTGGGGGGAAGGGACCCCCCTGCAGGCAACGGGGGGACGGCTGGGTGCTGGGATGGGACCGGAGGGCCTGGCGTGGCCTCACCAGCCAGAGGCGTCTGTGTGGTGGGAGCCAGTGCAGTGACAGATGGTGCCACCGAGGGCCACGGGGACGAAGGCCCTGGAAATACAGGCAATCCCACTTCTCAAAACCCCTGAGCCCCGGCCCGAGCCGGCCCTGTGGCTGTGGGCTGAGCAGTCACAGCAGATGCTCTAGGGTAGGGGTGTCGAACTCACTCAGAGAAGGGGCCAAAATCTAAAATCCAGCCTAAATCGCGGGCCGAATGGTTTACTGAACAGTCATAAACTGTCAGTGTGATGGAAACGCAGCGGAGTGCAGTGATGACAGCGCGGTGCGGGCCACATGCAAGGCCTGGCGGGACGGATTTGGCCCGCGGGCCTTGTGTTTGACACATGTGCTCTAGGCTTTTAAAGACATCGTCCAAAGGCAGTACCACCACCTGAGGACACGTTGTTTTCCCCACTGCATCCACGCCTGAGCCACAGAGAGTCTCCCTGCTTTAGAAACACACAGGATGGCCCTGGCCTGGTCGCTCCGTTGGCTGGATCGTCAGCCGGTACTCCGAAAGGTTGTGGGTTCGATTCCCAATCAGGGCACAGGCCCAGGTGCGGGGTCAATCCCCAGTGCCTGGAGCAACCAATCAATATTTCTCGCTCGCATCAATGTCTCTCTCCAGCCTCCCTCAACCCAACACCCTTCTCTCTCTCTCCTCTCTCTCTCTCTCTGTCTGTGTGTGTGTGTGTGTGTGTGTAAGAAATCAATTTTAAAAAATGGCCCCTCGACATGATGAGCGGGCAGTCTCTCGTTATGCGGAGTGCCGTCCGAGGCCCGCACGACAGACACTGGGACAGAGCGGACCCCGCGGGGGCGGAGCGGACCCGCGGGGGACGGAGCGGACCCGCGGGGGGCGGAGCGGACCCGCGGGGGGCGGAGCGGACCCCGCGGGGGGCGGAGCGGACCGCGGGGGGCGGAGCGGACCGCGGGGGGCGGAGCGGACCCACGGGGCCGGGAGACTCACTGCCGCAGTCCTCGAAGACCATGTCGTCCTTCTGGGCCGCGTCCCGGTACTTCTCCAGGAAGCGCATGATGTTCGTCACGTAGGGCTCGTAGGTCTCGGCCTTGCTGGGGTGGAAGGAGATCTCCGTCTTCTGGATCTGAGGGACCTGCGTCAGTCCTGGCCGGGCAGAGCAGAGACACAGGGGTCACCAGCCAGAAGCCGAGAGAAACATAGCCCCTGCTCGCCCGCCCGCCTACAGGGACGGGTTCCATCCGCACAGGTGACATCCCTCGGCGCCCAGAACAGCGCACACTTCATGACCGCGCCGCCTCCATGTTATGGATGAAAGCACGTCTGGCACAGGGAGGTCAAGCTCCGGGCCCAAGGTCACAGAGGAAGTGGTGGGACCACGCCGGCATCCAGAGCCAGTGCCTGCCCCGTGGCCCCTCGTGGGCACCTGCCAGCCCGCTGGGTCTGCGCAGGCGCCCTCCCCTCACGGCGGGCCGTGAGGTCAGGCCACTCCGAGCCCACAAGACACAAGACTCACGGACATTTCTCCGCGCTCACCCTGAGCCGGAGGTCGGGGACGGGAACGGGACCTGACTCCCATCCCGGAGTGAGCGGTTATTCTGCGCAGGCGCAGTGCCAGCCGGGGTAAAGGTCTCAGCACGCACCCCGGGGCCCCACGCTTCAGCTGGCCTGAGACTGTCATTTCCGGACACTCTGCCCTCACAGGACTCCTGGCCAGACGTGTGCACAGCAGCGCCCGGCCCTCCAGGGGCACCGGGATGCCCGTCACAGTGGGATTCTGCCCCGGATGCAGGTGAGTGTGTGGCCACGTTCGCCTGGCCCAGCACAGGAGCTCTGACAGAAGCATGGCCTACATGCTACACGGACACTACATGGGACGCCCACCTAAAAGGTCACCTGGAATTGACCTTCGGCTCGAAGGGACTGGTACCTCCCGTGTTTGTATTTGCCAGCCTGGCAGCCCACTCCCAGGCCTGCCCTCTGTGCCCGCAGCCAGCGCAGGCCCCTTCCCCTGGCATCCTGCAGGCAGGAAAGCAGTGACGTGGCTGAAGCAGAAGTGACCAGGGCACGGCTGTTTTCCGAGCCCTGAGGCTGGCTCTGAGCTTTGGGCTGTGGGCGGGGAGTGAGGAGGCCGGCCTGGGGCTGCTGGGCCACGCGTCCCCCGCACGCAGCTCCCCAAGGGGAAGGGGGGGGGGGTGGCCGAGACAGACCCTCCAGGAGTGACATTGGGAATCCTCAAAAGGCTGATGCAGGACCTGAAGGAGCCGGACGAAGCTGTCAACAGGAGGGAGGGAGTCCAGGGGAAGTCAGCAGAACTCGCTCACAAAAACAAAACGTTTTAAGTCTTTGCTTAAAAATAAAGGAAGGTCACTACAATTAGGATGTTTAGGCCCCGGCCAGGTGGCTCAGGTGGTTAGAGTATTGTCATCACACCAAGGTTGCAGTTTGATCTCCGGTCAGAGCACATACAACAATTAACCAGGCAGCCAAGCCGGTGTGGCTCAGTGGTTGAGCGTCGACCTATGAACCAGGAGGTCACAGTTTGATTCCTGGTCAGGACACCTGCCTGGGTGGTGGGCTCGATCCCCAGTCGGGGGTGTGCAGGAGGCAGCCAATCCGTGATTCTCTCTCATCATTGATGTTTCTATCTCATTCTCTCTCTCCCTTCTTCTCTGAAATCAATAAAAATATATTTAAAAACAAAACAAAGACTCAACCAGGCAGCACATGGATAGTGGAACAACAATTCGATGTTTTTCCCTCCCTCTAAGATGAATAAATAAAACAAAATAATTTACATTTTTAAAAATGCTCCAAAACCATAGAAAATTATATGGCCAAAGGAATTTGAATGTCCCCTGAAAAATCTTTCTACAATAAATGGGGAAACGGGCTGTGGGATTTGTGCTCAGAAGCACCTGGCCACCCCTGACAGCTGCCCACGAAGATGAAGAGGGAAATGGCCAGGGTGAGGAGGACTCTCCTGGGGCCTGGGCCCCGCCCCACTGTCGGAAGGCCTGTGAGCGGTGGCCTAACTGGTCTGAACTGCAGTAAGACACTTGTTGGGGTGACCTTCGTGGCCCCCAGAAACGCAGCCAGGGCCAGAGGTGTCACCAAACCCGGGGGAGGGAGCATCCTGAGTGGGGGTCGGGGGCCGGAGGGTCACTCCCCAGGGGCCCCGGGAGCCAGGGCCAGGCGGGCACCGGAGAGCTCTGGTCTGCGGGCAGGAGGCTGGGAAGCCCATCCCAGGTCGAACCCACCAGGATTCTGTGTGGCGGGGACAGAGATGGGCAAGACCAGCCGGCAGGGGGGCAGTCCCTGCTGGGGAAGCAGAGGCAGGAGGTGGTCACAGAGGGGAGCACAGGAGCACGGCCCCCCGAACCTCAGGGACGGCTGTGCAGCGTGGGGAGGACAGGCTGGCAGACCTAAGGGACCTCAGGGTGACTGGCACCGCCATGCCGTCCACCGTCCGTCAGCAGAACGGGTGACTCAGCAGAAACCAAACTGCTGACAAAATGTCGGCGAGCCTGGGCTGAGCCGTGGGGAGCCTCACGGACAGTCAGAGGGGAAGTGAGCCTCGGAGCCGGGCGGCGGGAGCCCCAGGGCCTGAGGTGAGTCCCAGCTCACGGCCCCTCTGGCCTAGCTCCCTCCCCGCCCCTGCCACTCACCTGCACCCACCCTCAGGCTCCCCCAGACCAAAGGGGGCCAGGTGGGACCTGCAGACTCCTTTCAGGGTCTCTGCCCAGACCCAGCACACCGGGGAGCCTTGGCTCCTCCCCCCGCCCCCAGGGGGGCACCGGCTCCATGCAGCCTCCATCCTGGAGCACGTGGCCCAGCAACATCGCTCTCACGGGGGCTCAGTCCTTCCATGAGCGGCCAGCGGCGCCCTGTGCTCAGCCCCTCAGCTCTGATCTACGCAAATGCAGGTGCGACCTCATGCTAACAGCACCGATGGCCAGAGAGACATCTTGTCTTCTCTCCCCAGACGGGGCAAGGAGCAATGACAACCCAGGGGTGGAATCACACGTTTCCTGAGCCTGAACCCCCCAGGCAGCATGGCGAGCAAGCCACGCCCCATCCAGCCTGTAACATAGGAGAGAAATGCAGATGGAAGGTTCTGGAAGAATCCTGACTTTGTTCTGTGCAGAGAAGCACCAGAAACTGGGGACACCAGGAAGCAGGAGGCGACAGGGACCCCTGAGCGTGGGGCAGGGATCCTGTGGCGTCAGACCTGAGCAGGGCTTCTGGGCAGAGCCTGGTGTGAGGCGGGGGCTGCGTCCCCAGGGCAGGGCAAGTCCCCGGAGCCCAGCCCAGGCCCTCTTCCACAGCTGAGCTCCCCTGAGGCCCCTGAGCTGAGCAGCTGGCACTGCCTGTGACATCCTCCCGGAAAAGCCGCTTCTCATGTGGACATGCCCAGAACAGCAGCACCAATGGTGTGGGTTTAGGACATGCCATCGGCTCTCCTGAACCCTCCCCTGCGGAGCACAAGACAGAAGCGCTCTGCTCTCCTTCCCGGGTTCTGGAGGTCCCCCTGCCACCCCTCGCTGCCTCGCCTGGAGCGCCAACCGTCTGCTCTCGCCCAGGGCCTGCGGTGGAGGGCTCGCTCTGAAGCCACCGGGGTCCCCGTCCGCCTGGACAGCCTTAGCCACCGGGGTCCCCGTCCGCCTGGACAGCCTTAGCCGGGCGGCTCAGGCCTCCGGGCGCTGGAAACGCATTCCCCTTCTCACAGTGACTCCCCTACAGCAGTGACACCCCCCAGGAGCCGAGGAGGCCCCGGACCCGCTGTCTACATCCTCTCGGTTACCTTGACATTCTCAGACAGATGGGGAGAAAGAGAAAGGAAGGGGCAGGACCGGGGAGCCCGCTCATCGAGGGCCCCACGTGGGTCGGTTCTCCTTCCTGGTTTCCACCCACTGGGCACCTCAGCGTGCGCGCACACACACACACACACACACACACACACACACCTCAGCGCATATCCTGTCTCTCCTGTGCACTGAGCAGTAATTTTCAATACAAAAATTACTGGCCGACTGGCGTGAGGGCTCTTTCAATACATTGGAGTTTTCTGGAAGTCTGTAATCATTTGAAAAACTCACAGATGGATATTTGTGGGTTTTATTTTGCCTCCGCAAGTTCAGGCAAAAATATTGTATTCTACAAATACTTTTTTCTTTAATTAAGAAAAAGTTACATATGTCATGAGTGCATGAAATATATGTATTTTCTCTTCCCTGTGATTTTCTCAATAACATCTTTCTCTAGCTACTTTATGGTAAGAACGCAGTAGGCAGTACATGTCACACACCATGTGTTAACGGGCTGTTTATGTTCTCGGAAAGGCGTCTGGTCCCAGGCGGCTGTGAGCGGTAAGTTCTGGGGGTGTGAACAGTTAGATGTGGGCCTTCCATCGCACAGGGAGCCAGCGCCTAACCCTCATGTTGTCCAAGGTCCACCTGCACCCTCTCCAGAGAAGCCTCCTTCTCCATGGAAACCTCAGGCAGCACCCATGTGACCACCAAGGGCAGAAACACTAGTCAACACAGCCACGGACACATCCCCTGCATCTCCTGTCTCTCCTGTGAGCTGGGAAGTGATTTTCAACCAAAAACACACACACACACACACACACCTATGTGCACATATACACACTCATATGAGCGCACACATACATGTAACACAAAAATGTGTGCGCACACACATGTGCAAGCACTCATATGTGCACTCACGCTTGCACATATGTACACACATACATATCTACATAGATGTAGACTCACACGTGTACACATATATGTGTACATGTTCACGTTTGTATATGAACACTTGCACATGTGTGCACACCTATGTATAGACTTGTACGTGTGCATACACTTGTACACATACATGTATGCATGCATGCAAGTGTGTGCAAGCAGTTTCTCCTTTCAAATGCCACTAAGATATTTAAGGGTTGTACTTTGCCTCCGTAAGGTCAGTATCAGCTTCCCTAACGACACAGGAGGGTAAAGGGGAAGCCAGCAGCCTTTGCCTCACCCCCCGCCTCAGACTCAGCTTTGACAGTGATCAGGGACCATCCAGACTCAAGGCCCCCCTCCAGGCAGTTCCCCCCCCCCCCCCCGTCCTCCTCCAGACCCCGGGGATCTGCTTCCTCTGAAAAGTCCTTGATGCTGGACTGTCTCTGCAGCCACCTGGGCGCTCCACAGCCCTCGGTGGACGGGCCTCTTCCGTCCGAGATCAATGCCAGGCTCGCTGGCAGAGGCATTGCCTGGCCCGCACTCACCCCAGGTGGCGGGGGCGAGGGCCCAGCGGCTCTGACAGGGCACGGCCTCACGGGGCGGCGCGGACGGTCTGTGCGCCTCTGTGCGCCTCCTCACGGCTCGCTCCCCAGGAAGGCATGGCTCTCACAGCGGGAGACAGAAACCAAGAGGCCACCCCTAGCGCCCTGCGTTAGCTGAAGGACAGCACGGCCTGTGTTTACCTCGCCTGGATACAAAACAAACGCGCCCAGGGGCCGACATCCTGAAACAGGACACCGCGCTAGACCTGGCGTTTGATTGTGTCTGTTCATGCAGGGGCGTGGGGAAAGGTACGCCTTTCTGGTTGGAAGCCACGAGAAAATACTTCCTGCCCCTCCTTCCCCAGCTGGTGTGCGTCACACGGGCCCTCGGGTCACGGGATTACTAGCCGCCCTCACACATTGCACCACCTGGGGTCGGAGGCCCTGAGGCCGTGCCCTGTCCACACACATACCCCTCTCGCCCTCCCTGCCACCCCCACCGGAGCCTCCTGGGCTCTTTATCAGAGCAAGACCCACAGACGCATTTTTCTGGGGCTCCAAGAACTTTTTATGCTGACCACCGGGCTTCCCGTGCACCCAAGTGGGCTTATTGGTCTTTAGAAATGAAGAAACAGCAGCATGGGCAGGTGGGGAACGAGGGACAGGAACTGGAGTTTGCAGCCGCAACCCTTTACTTAGGAAATCCTGCCCTATCCCCACCCACCTCCCAGTGCCTGGGTCCGAGTGATGTCGTTGGGAAAAAAGGCCTTTCTGATGAATGCGATGATTCTGGAGTATCCGAGCTGGAGCGGCAGTGCCTCGGGCCCTGACAGGCTTGAAGATGAGATGTGCCCCTTGGCTGCGGGCGGGCCTGTGAGGTCTGGCTTTGCCGCCCTGTCCCCACCTCGGTGCTGGTTACCATGCTCCCACCAACAAGCCCCATGCCCTGAGCCCTCTGCACTTCACAGCAAAGGCCACCCCCCACCCTGTGAGGAAGGACAAGCGAACAAGCTCAGACCTGCTCAGCAGGAAGCCGGAGCCGGCTCCACCTTCCCTGGCCCCGGAGCCACACACAGGGACCTTCCTGCATGCCACCGCTGCTCGGTGAGCTGGGGGCAAGACCCGGGGCAAACTGGGGCTGGGCCTGGGGGTGTGGGCTGGTGTGCACGTGGGCCTCCGCCTGTCTAGAGCCCCCCCCACCCCCCCGCATCACAGGAAGAGGACAGAGCTGACCACCAAGGGGACTCCCTAAGAGGTCTGCCTGGGGCTAACCCACAGGCAGGGGTATTCTAGAGGGAGATTACAGAACGACAATGCTATTTAAACTCACTTTGTTTTCAAACATGCTTCCTATTCCAATTTCTCCCAAAAGCTTTTCACAGAAAGCCAGGACCCTACTAACCTCAGGAAACGCACGTGCATAAGGCGCCTCTGCTCTATCAGCCACCGCTCAGCCTGTCCGGGGTTATGGAAGGGGGCTGTTAATAGCTGCCTTTCAGTGCCACCAGTTTGCCTTACCTATGCTTATTTAATCCTCCCAGGATAGCATCCCCATTTTGCAGATGAGAAAACTGAGGCTGAGTGAGGTGAAGCGGTGCGTGTGGCTGTGTCCAATCCCAGAGGCCCCCTTCCTGTCAGGCCAGCGTCACTGTGCACGCAGGGGGAATGGCCCAGCACCGCATTCAGGTGTGGGTTGGATAACGTGAAAGTGCCTCCAGCAGCCACTCTGACCCACAGAACAGCAATGTAATGTGTCTCAACAGAGCATCTCCGCCGCGGCCCCCGCCCGGCCTCCCAGGCCAGGGGGGAGGCCTCTCCAGTATCCTACAGCCACAGCGCTGCCCAAGGAGCTCAGGATCGCCACAGGGCCGATGGCCACACCGCCCAGGACAGTGGTCAGCAAACTGCAGCTCGCGAGCCACAAGCGGCTCTTTGGCCCCTTGAGTGTGGCTCTTCCACAAAATACCACTGCCTGGGGCGAGTCTGTTTTGAAGAAGTGGTGTTAGAAGAAGTCTAAGTTTAAAAAAATGTGGCTCTCCAAAGAAATGTCTATCGTTGTGCTGTTGATATTTGGCTCTGCTGACTAAGGAGTTTGCCGACCATGGTATCTGTGTCCCTTGACCTGCGCTTCGTTTTGCAATCTAGTCCCGAGACTCGTGGTCAGCCTGTCGGCGTGGTCAGCCTGTCGGCTTAGCCAGCGTCAGAGGCACGCAGGGCCGAGAGCTCTGCCCAGCTGCCTCCCTGGCCGCGGGCACCCGGCTCTAAGGGCACAGGGCGGGCCACGCGCGGCCAGGCTGCGGCTCAGTCTCCAGTGCAGCCTCCGTTTGTCTCCCATCTGAGAACTGGGCCAACGTGGCCACGCTCCTGAGGGTCGTTCGCTGAAAACTACAATTCCCCTCTTTAAATGTTAGAGAGGGGCAGAGACATTGAGCCGAAGACCCCAAACGGCCGGGGTTTTCTTCTACACATCTGTCCCGCCCACGGCCTGCAGGACAGCTCCGGCCGATCGGAGATACACACCGCTGCGATCTGCTCCCCACGGTGCCCGGGGGAGGGCACAGGGCCCTGGGAGCACCGCAGCAGGCGGAGCTCGGCGACCTGGCCACCCCCTCCAGGCACCAGGGTTTGCAGAGGAATGCCATGTCCCTCGGCAAGGCCACGGATCGCGGGGGCTTGGCCCAGGCTCCCCTGGCAAAGTGAAGGGTGAGGCGCGGAGGAAAAGGAGAGACAGAAACGACAAAGGGCCCGGGTGACGGGCGGGGGAGCGGGAGGATGGGGCCTGTGACGCGGCCGAAGGACAGGGCCGCATACCTCCGAGCTGAGCCACCGGCATTCCTTCGGGCCACAGACCGCAGTGGCCTGAGGATGGACGCTAAATATAGGCGCCAGGCATGTGCCTCCGGGACGGGCGGGACGCGGCGGGAGGACCAGCGCCTCGGCCAGGGGTTTCCCAGCAAGGTCACCTGCAAGGTCACCTGCAGGATGCCCAGGGAAAGGCAGGCACTTGGTTTCCCCTTGAAAGTAGCAGCTCCTGCCCTAACCGGTTTGGCTCAGTGGATAGAGCATCAGCCTGTGAACTCAAGGGTCCCGGGTTCGATTCCAGTCAAGGGCATGTACCTTGATTGCAGGCACATCCCCCATAGGGGGTGTGCAGGAGGCAGCCAGTCAATGTTTCTCTCACATCGATGTTTCTAACTCTCTCTCTCCCTCCCTCTCTGTAAAAATCAATAAAAAATATTTTTTTAAAAGAAAAGAAAAAGAAAAAGGAAGTAGCAGCTCCTTCTGCACAGGAGGCGGAGGAGGTGCGGATTGTCAGCAAAGGCGATCCCAGAGGTCACACCTCAAAGGACCACTTTCTAACTGTGGCACGTGAGACAAGATGCCGGACTTTCTGCTCAACTGTGGTCGTAACTATCAAGAATTCTTCTAAAATAGCATCAAATTTATTGAAAAAGAGCTTTCAAATGGCAAACGAAAGGTCCATGCGAATTTAAACGAGGATTACTGATGCCCCCGTAACACGGGGTCAGAGGAGGACGAGGGGAGAAACGCCACGCTCCACGGTGGCGGACGTTTCCCAGAATCCCCTGCAGCCGCCCACGGACCCCCTCTCCTTGGGGATGTTGCTGGAAGCGGGGTTGTGAAGAGCAGGTTGAAGTCATTTTATATACTTACATGTTTTCTTTTTCCACTTCCCACAGCCCCTAGACCCGCACGCATCTGGGAATATGGGTGTTTCCTGACATCGGACTCGACGTGATGTGAGGCTCAAAGGCCCGCTCGCCGCCTCCACATTAGGGGATGTTCTCAGAGTCCCTCCCACAGCCAGGGAGGAGGTGTGACTGGGGCTGCTCAGTGCCCAGGACTGTCACCCAAATACAGCTGCTGCCCAACAGCTGCCCAGGGAACTGGAGGGGTCAGGCCACTGCCACCCCTGAGGTCACTTATAATGAGAACCTGGACGTTATGCAACATTTCCTCCCTCCAGTGACTCTTCAGAGGCAGGACACCCTCGTGTGGTCCTGCATTTCCTAGGAGCTTTGGAAGCCACGTTTTCAGAGCTAAAGGAGAGTTACTCGGCAGTGGGCCCCAAAAGCCAGTAAATAGATGCTCAGTAAACAGGCAATAATACTGAGAATGGCAGAGGGTGCTTTTGTTCAAGGTCACACTGTAGGTCAGCAGCAGGTGGGGGCGTGGAGCCCTGAGCCCCTGGCTCCTCCCGTGTGAAATCCGTTCGCCTTTGAAAACAGGAGCCAGGCGGTGTTTTAAAGGATTTCTCTGAGTCACAGTCCCCTCGAGACAGTGTGTGAGAGCCCGCTAACGGCCTGGAGCCCCGTGGCCTGTGGTGGGGGTGGGGTGGGGGTGGGGGTGGTGTTTAGATGCCCCCGCGGCCTAGATGCAGAGGGAAGCTGCTGCCTGTCCCTCCCGCAGGCTGTGTCCTGCTGTCAGAGAACAGCCTCCAGACAGCACCCCGCCCCGGGAAGCACTGGGCGTGCGCTCGCTCCGTTACCTGGCGGGGCCACGCGGTCCTGGTAGGTGGGCTTAAATTCGCTGATGGTGAGCAGCAGCACCTGGATGGTCCCGATGAAGATGCCGGCCAGGCAGCCGTAAAAGATCAAGTAGAACAGAAGGATCTTAACTGCAAGGAGAGCAGACACAACAGATGCTGTGATGCAGTCACGTGCTCAGGACGCCCCTCAGACGCGTGCACGCCTTCCTCCCCCCTTCCCCCGCCACCGTCGCCCCTGTGCCTGCAGGGCCCTGCTCCAGCCCTGACCAGCAGGACGGGCGGGGGAGGGAGGAAGGAAGGGGGAAGAGGGGGAGAGGAGACATCTCCATTGTGGTGTGCCTGTCAGGGAGGGTTGGGGGTAGGAGGAATGTTCAACTCGGACTAAGATTCTTTACAGGAAAAAACTGCATTCCCCACATTTAAGAAATGTTCACGAAGGTCGCCCATGAAATCCAGGGCCTGTCTGTGCTTCTGCAACGCGCTGCCACCGACAGCCTCTTCCCGCAGAAGCCTGTGTGCGGTGCCTGCTTACCCGTGCATTTCCCTCTCACCCCGGTGCCTGCTCACCCCCGGCACCTCCCTCTCACAGCCAGGCGGCTGCTGCTCGTTCAAGCACACGGCACTGTGGCAGCCAGCAGCGCCCAGGGCACTAACAACCAGGCTTCCTCTGGGTGCACCAAACCAGAAAAAAAAGAAAATGCAGCCCTGGCTGGTGTGCCTCAGTGGGTAGGTAGTGAGTCGGCCTATGGACTGATGAGTCCGGGTTCGATTCCGGTCAAGGGCACATGCCCGGGTTGCAAGCTTGATTCCCCAGTAGGGGGCGTGCAGGAGGCAGCCCATCCATGATCCTCTCTCATCATTGATGTTTTTTATCCCTCCCTCTCCCTTCCTCTCTGAATCAATAAAAATAAATATATATTAAAAAAAAGAAAGTGCACTCGTAAAAATGGCCGGCGCATTTGTATTTCATCCTCTGCCTGCGCCCAGAAGAATGGCTAACATGAGCTGCATTTTCTCTTTCCCGGGACAGCAGAGGCTGAGGTAGCTGAAAAAGCAAAAAACGCCAAAAACCGGGGCCCTCAGGCTCCCGGAGCTATCGGTTACGGTTTACAAGGATTACCTCCCGATTAGGCGGTCACAGGCTGTACCAGGCGCGGCCGCAGCTCGGCGCGCATGCAGAGCGGGGAGAGCGAGCGTGAGGTCAGAGTCTGCAGCACGACTGCAGGGCCCCGGGGCGTCTGGAAAAGGTCCAGATCGCACGCCTGAGGTGCGGGGTCCTCAGGAGCGAGCTACAGAGCGAGCGTGTTACTGCAAAGCAGCGGGCGAGAGTGGCGAGAGGGACGTGTGTGTGTGTGTGTGTGTGTGTGTGTGTGTGTGTGTGAAGGCAGATGGTAAATACAGGATGGAAGGGGGCACTAGCCGGGTCTCCATCCATTTAAAACCCAGCTTTCCTATCAGCAAGTAATCCTACTAGAGTTGTTAAAATAAGCAAACCGTGCCAGAAGAGCACACCGCAGTGCTCAGCGGTGACCCTTCCAGAAGGGGGCCAGGCAGAGGCCAGCGAAGGCAAAGGCAGAGGCGGCCGGAGGCAGAGGACAGCTGCCCGCTCCCCGCGGCCTCCGGGCCAGCGAGGGTTAAGCGCGGCTCCGTATCCAGGCAGCGGCAGGCAAATGGCAAGGCTGTGACGTCAGAGATCTGGAAAATTTTTCCAGCGGCTGCTCCTGCGAGGTGCAGGGCCGGTGCGGCACGGTCCGCGAACACGGAGCCTTAATGCTGCCCCCACCTCAGCTCCCACCGCCCAGAGCCTTTCTAGACCCGCCCTCGGACCCAGATCCCCCACGCCAGCCACACGGAAAGGTGCATAATGGATCCCCCACCTACAACAGGGACGCGGCTGGGGGGAACAGGGCGCTGGCCAGCCACACCGATTACACTTGACATGCAGCCGCTCGGGTTGCCCAAGGGGGGCCCAGTGGGAAGCGGGAGGCAAGGAATTCCCCTCCGGCTCCGAGGTGTCACTGAGCAAAAGGTGCCCAGGTGCCGTGCCGCAGCCACGGGGGGGGGGGGGGGGGGGATAATTGGGGGGAATGAAGGTCTGCGGGGCCTGCACAGGCCCCCGGGTGCTGCTCAGAGAGAGCTGGGCAAAGGGTACCAGCCAGCCAGGGCACAGGGGGCAGGCCCCAGAGGCGTTTTTCTCTTAGGCAGTTTTTCTTCCTTTTAAAAAATACAGGTAGTATCAAGGTTGTCCAAAGGGGGGAGGGGAGGACCCTTCAAAGGAGGAAAATGTGAGACCTGAGTCCTGTGACCGCAGCGAAGGGGGAGGAAGGGGGCACAGGGGATGTGCGTTCCCTTAAAAGGGTGGGGCTCCTGCACCCACGGGTGACCATCTACCTGTGGGCGACGCCGAGCCAAGGGCGCCTGCCCCAGGCCAAGGGCGCCGTGCTGCAGAGGCGGCCCTTCCCGGGGGCGGCCATCGCCGGCGCCTCCGCTGCTGAGGCTCTGACCTTTCCCTCAGCGCCCGCCCGCCCGCCCGCCCGCCCGCCGGCGGACATGTTAGCACAGAGCAGACCCTGAGCTCCGGCCCCGCACCTGCCCCGGGAGAGGAAGGACAGAGGGCCAGGCACAGGGTGCTGGTGTCTGTGTGTCCATCCACTGTGCAGTGCGGACCGGAGACACAGACATTCACACATTCACTCCTCTCTCCCTCTCCGCGCCCCCCCCCCCCATTCTCTCATGGAGGTGCTGCCCCTTAAATGTCGGCTTAAAGAACAAGGACTTCCATACAGCTTTGCCCTCCAAAGCAAACATTATTCTGCAATTGGAATGAGGAAAAAAATATATATATTTAATCAGGGAGGGGCGGGCACGAGAGGGCAAATTTCGCAATATTCCCAGAGTCAGTGCGGCCGTGGCCCGTGCCAAGGCTGGAGACAGCCCACCGGGCGGGGAGGTTCCGGGGAGCGGGAGGAGGGCCCCTCTGCAGTGCCCCCGCCCAGGCCTGCTTCCAGCCGCCCGGAGCTGTGCACACCGCACACCCTGGCTCCCAGGTTCCCTCCCCGTCAGGACAACGCAGAGGGGCTGCGGCAATCACCCCACCAAGAACCAGTCTCTCTCAAACACAAGAAAACATGAAATGCGAGCGAAAAGCCATCTCCGTGACGATCTGCATGTAACACGGCTGCCGGGCACCCGTGCCTCCGGGAACACCTTGGGATGAGGTTTCACCTTGACTAACCTTGAAGGGTGATGCATTATTAACCCTTCCCTTTCCCACCAAGAGGGGCCTACACCACAGGCTGCATTCTCTTTTTCTTTATACATATATATTTATTTATAAAATAACCCCTAGATTCTGGCTTCTTCCATTTCAAAATGTCAGCCAGGCTCTATTTCCCTGACTCATCCTGCTGATGCCCACAGCGTCTCCCAATCAGGACCCTGCGGGCCCGGGCCCGGCTCCCTGGGGCTGCCAGGGGGTGCAGGTGGTGTCCATGATGGTGGCGATGGTGATGCCGGAGGGGAGGGGGCAGAGATGCGGCAGGCAGGGGGAGTCCCTCCCTCTCTCACTGCAGTCACGACTCAGATTTGCCTACAATGCTGCCCTTCAAAATGACCTTTACACACCACACACACACACACACAGACACACACACCTATGTCCCCCTCCAGGTGCAGGGAGGCAGAAAGCACATGTGGTATTTCATTTTCAATGGGGGTTTGGGCACAGGCTGCCCAAAATCTTACACAAGGACCTGCTTGTGCCTTTGTGCCATTTGCTCCTTAGACAGAACCCGTCACCATCACCCACTCCGCACCGGTGCCGCAGCTCTGAGTGGACATGGCAATCAACCAGACGCTGCGGCGATGCGGGGCCCTGGCGGGCTGTGCGGGGCCGGGAGGAGGGGTGCGGGGGGCTGTGGGTATGGCTCGGAAACACTGCAGCCAGCGGGGAGGGCTCCCGCCCCGCCCGGGGCACCTATGGAGGCTGGAAGGCGCTCAAACCCGCAGCCTCGCCGGCACTGCGCCCCATCGCCCTCATCCTCATCCTTATCCTCACACCTCCTGGCATGGCCGCTGGGAGAGACCCATCCAGGTTCCCATGCCTGGCCGTTCCCAGCGGGAAAGGTCCGGATCGATAGACCGCAAATTACCCAAACCAGCCGCACCGGTACGGAGAGCCCTCCGCCCGGCCCCCGCCCCGCGCCCCGCGCCGGCGGCTCTGCCGTCCGCACCCGGCGGCCACCCTCCCTCCGGGGCGCGGTGAGCAGCGGTGCGCAGCGGTCCGCAGGGATGCGCTGCCCCGGAGACCGGCGCTGCGGGCCCCGTACTTACACCAGCTGCCGCCGGTCCTGCCCAGGAACTCCTTCTTCTCCGAGTTCCAGATGAATTTCTTCCAGCCGCCCTCCTCCTTGGCTTTTCCGCGGGCCATGGTGGTGGCTCAGCAGCGGCTGCCGCGGGGCTGCGTGCGGGGGACTGCGGCGCGCGCCCTGCTCCGCTCGGCGCCGGCCGGGGTCTGTGCAGCTGCACCCGCCGCTGCCGCTGCGGCGCTCCGAGTGCCAGGCGCGCCGCGGAGGAGCGGGAGCGGGAGAGCGCGAGGGGGAGGCGGCGGGGGCGGAGGGAGGAGGGAGGGGCGGAGGGACCGCGGGCTGCGCGGCTCCGAGCCCCGCACCTATTGGCGGGCACGCGGCTGCTCACGGGCTCTCTCTGGTCCACCACCCGCTCCTCCTGCCCTTGGAGGAGCTCGGGGGGCTCCGGGAGCCCGCGGCTGCCTCTCCCGCTGCCTCTGGGAGCGCGAACGGGGCCCCCGCCTCCGGTGACCTCTGCGGAGACGGCCGGGGCCGGAGAAAGTCAGCGGGAAGGACGGACACAAGGACGGGCGCCCAGCAAGACGGCGACGCAGGGAGCGCGCTCTACCTTTCCTATATACCGCGCCCCGGCGCCGCGGGGCCCCACCCACTAGCGGCCGAGATGGCCAATCGCGGGCGCGGGTGGGCGGGGCCCAGCTCATTAGCGGCCCAGCTGGCCAATCGCTAGAGCAGGGGCGGGGCCCCGGGCGGGGGGGGGGGGCGGGCGTGAGGCCGGCACAAAGGAGCCGCGGCGGCGAAAGGGGTGGGCAGGCGCGCTGGGGCGCGGAGCCGGCGGCGGGGACAGGGCGGGCGGCCTCGCGCCCACTTGCCCCTCCGTTGTGCGGGGTCTTGCACCTGCGTTGCCCGGGGCCCCGGCTGCCGGGCTGACTGATCCAGTCCTGTCCGCGCCCGCTTCCCCTGCGCGCTCCCGGTTTTCTCTGCCGCAGGTCCACCCTCCAGGGCCCGGGCGGGTAGGGAAGGTCACTCCGGGACGCCTAGGAGCCGGGGACTCTGCCCGGCTCCGCCCCGCCTCCCCGCTCCTGCACCTGCCGCCCCTGGGCGCTACCCGCCGCCGCTGCGGTTGAAGTCCCAGCCCTGCCCTCCCTGGGCTGCCTGGCTGTGCGCCACGTGGGCGGCCCGAACCACCTCGAGCAGGGCACCTGCCGGACCCACCCGGAGCGCAGCAGCCGAGCCGTGGGGCCTGGGAGTTGAAGGAGGCAGACCGACCCCGGGGAGTCTTCCTTGGGAGACCGAGGGCGCTGCAAGGCGATCCATGCTAGTCTGGACCCGGCGACCATGTCTGCACTTGACCCAGCCACCGCGGACTCTCCTGGGTGCCCAGTCCCTGGCTGGTATTTTCACTGACATGCTTTGGCGCCCCTTTGGGGGTCCCGACTCCTTCGTTTGGCTGTGAAATCCCTGGGACGGAAGGGGTTGGGAAGACAGCTCAAATAGCTGGACGTTCCGGGCGGTCCTGGGCATGCGCTCCCCTCCCATCCCTGTTGCTGCAAAGCCAGACTCCTTGGTTTCATCTCCCCCACCTGCAGCAGCCCCTGAGCGGCTTCGCACGTGCCTCGGGGGCAGTGACACAGCAGAAAGGCAGGGGGCTCTGCCGTCACCACAGGGGAGGGCCATCCATCCCACCCCAGGGTCACAGGGCCCCTCTGGAAGGATTCCCAGCCCCGCGTCCAGGAATCAGCCAGCCTCTGCTGTTTGTTCGGGGCACCTTTGTCTCCAAGGTCAACCTGGCAGGTCTGAGGAGGATAAGCACGAACTGAAAAGAAGGCGCTCTTTCCCAAGAATCCTTCGTCAGGCCCACCTGCGAGGCCAGGGCAAACCTGAAAATCCCTGAGGTTTGGAAAGCAGCAGCCACCTGTCCGCCCAGCCCCGGGGGGTGCTGCTGGCAGGGCTGCATCAAGGGCGCCCCGGAGACAGGAAGCCACCCCGCTCCCCCTGCAGTTTGTGCTGGCACAGCCCCAGCTGCTGAGGCGCTGCAGGAAGAGGCTGCACCTGCAGCCAGGATGCCCAGCCCCGCCCGCAGGAGTTGCCTCACGGAGGACTTTCCAGCAGGACAGGTCACTTGCAAGGGCGAGTGTGCATGGGACACAGCTGCCTGGGAGAGGGGAGAGAGCTGGGGGGCAGCATCGGCAGAAATGGATGAGAGCGGAGGAGGCAGAACAGGCGTGAGGGGTGGGGAGGAGATGGCCTCGCCCCCGTGTCCACCCCTCACTCGCCTTGTTCACCCCTTCGCCCCCACCCTGATTTCTCTGTCTCTGTCTCCGTCTCTCCTCTCTCTCCTTTCCAGTGGAAGCATGCCATAAAACAAGAAAAAGGAGGAAGGCTCAGAGCGACAGATTTTTAATTAGAACCCCCACTTTGTCTTAAAAAAAAAAAAAAAAAAGGTTGTCTTAGCTCTCTAGCTCTGTGGAGCTGTAGCAAATGCCGAGGAGACTGCGTTAGGCCAGGATGAACTTGCCCTCTTGTCCTTGACCTACTGTCTTCCTCTGGGGGACACTCCTCCCCCTTCCCCATCAAACTGTACCTCCCCCACACACACACCCAGCTCACTCATTTTCCCGCCCCTGCGTGTAAACTCTGACCGGTCCTGAGGGTCCTGCCTCCTCGGCCAAAGAGGAATCTCATTCTAAATCAGCCTCCCCTAGGCCTCCTAGGAACTCCCTGCCCGCCCCACCACCACCACCACTCCGCCCCCGAAACCCCACATTGCCTATAGAGAACAAGACCTCAGCCCCATGGGAACCCAGTGCCGGTGCCAGCTTCCTGCCACTCCAGACCTTCCAGAATTGTGTCACCCACCTAAGTCACCCACCCAAGTGCATCACCACACACAGCCGCCTGGGGAAGAGCAAGGCAGGCCTGCATTCACACTCCCAGCGGCCACCACGGCGCTAGCTGCGTGACCTGGGTCAAGGCGCCCGCTCTGGCCAGGGCCAGCTCCCTCGGAGGTAAAAATGGCGTGCTACATTGTTGCAAGGACCAAACGGGAGTTGTGGTAAAGTGCTAGCTGAGCCCAGCGCCTGTGCATAGCAAGAGCCGTTAAATAGCTGCTTAATTGTAATGGACTGCTTCCATTCGACCTCATCCGACCTTGGGGCTGTTGCTATGACTTTGCCACCTGCCCACTCAGGTGCCCTTGGATACCCTCAGGAGGTCCCCATCCCCTCTGCACCTTTCTCCTGGCTTTCCAACGCGCTTCCCGCCCTGTGACCTCCTCCGACTCTGGTAATGAGTAACTGGGCACACAGTGTTCCTTTGGACCGCGCTGGGCCGGGCAGGGCTGGGCTTTGTTCGGGGGCCCCTTCGGCGGAGGCGCCGCAGCAGCGGGTGGAGAGTGGAAAGTTCGAGGTTCTCCGGGGGCAGGGAGCCTCTGGCAGGTGGAGAGTGTGGCTGGGCGTGGGGTGGGGGGAGGGAGAGGAGGTGTGGACCAGGGAAACCAGGCGAGTGGCTCAGTGCCTGCCTACAGAGATCATTTTTCTCTGCAGAAAAGAGAATGGAGGAATTTGAAGGCTCGGGGGTGGGGGCGAGAAGAGGGAGAGCAATTTTTACATCTCTTTTCTGTGCGGTGGGAGGGGAGGAATGGGTCTGGAGGACTGTGAGCCAATGGCTCTGTCCGGGACTGGTGCGCTGTGCGGGATGGGTAGGAGGGAGCAGAGGGCGGGAAGAGCAGCAGGTTAGGGACCGCATCCAAATGAGGATGACAGGTCCAAACCCAGGAAACAGGCTGGAATGGAGCTTCCCATGCTGCAGAGAGGGGGTGTGGCTCGGCAGGTGCATGAGGGAGATTCAGATCTAAAAATCAGACCCCGCTCCACCCCCACTCCCACCCCCACCCCCACCCAAGCTTTGGCTCTCTGAGCTCCTGGGCCAACAATGCAGCATGCCCTGCAGAGGCCTCAGAGGGCAAGTCACCATCGGGGCCACAGCAAACTCTTGCACCTGCTGCTTTAGTGCCAGCGGGGGGAGGGTGCCCAGTGGGGGAGGGTGCCCAGCGGGGGGAGGGTGCCCAGCGGGGGAGGGTGCCCAGCGGGGGAGGGTTGGGGAGGGTGCCCAGCGGGAGAGGGTGCCCAGCGGGGGAGGGTGCCCAGTGGGGGAGGGTGGGGGAGGGTGCCCAGCGAGGGAGGGTGCCCAGAGGGAGAGGGTGTGGATTGCACGATGACTCATCCTGGCAGCAGAGCGTGTGCAAGCTGGGGAAGAGGGCTCCATGCTCCACGGCAGGTCTGTGCGCAGTGGCGAGCGGCCCGGATGCACAGCTCTGCAGTGGGGTGAGGGCAGGGAGAGGCGGGCACTGTGACCTGGGGCGGACTGGTCACGCTGGTGGGATGTGGGTGGAGGCCTGGCAGGCTGGTGGAAACCCCTCACCAGCCATCACGGGAGCCCCGTGCGGTGTCATTCGGTGCTTCCCCGTGGAGCCTGTGTGTGTGATTGGGACCAGGTCATCCTCTGGAGACCAGGGACCCTGGATGGGACCAGTGGAAAGGTCCCTTCAGTGCCTGCATTAGGTCATCTGCCTCTCGCCTGTCCCTGGGGCTGGGGCTGGGGCTGGGCTCCTGCTCTGGGTGAAGACCTGGTGTGGACATTTTAGAAGGAGGGGGCTGTTTTAGAAGGCCCCTTGGTAAGGCGGACTCTCCTGCCCTCAGTGGAAGTGACATTGTCACCTTTGTCACCAGGTCCTGGCTGGCAGACTTCCAGGAGTCGCTTTTTGCTGACCTGGTCCCTAGCTTCCAAGTCAGGGAATGGATGAGTCCAGAGAGCACCGTGTGAGGCGGGTCCTAGGCCAATTTGTTGTAAGGCATGTGCAGGTGGAGGTGGCAGAGTAGCGGGCACACACAGCGATGCATGGTTAGTGCAGGGGTCCTGAGTGTGAAGGGCGAAGGGAAGGGGGGCCTGGCCACACGGCGAGGCCTCCCAGCCTGCCCGCCCTCTCCTTCCCGGGCGCTAAGAGGTCCCATTTGCCTTTTCCCTGGAACAAGGTCTGGTACCAACCAGCACAGCCTCAGCCTCAGTTCCTTTGGAGGATTCTCTCTAACAGACAATGAGGGGCCTCTGAGAGGCGTGGGTTCACGGCCTGGGCCTCGGGCAGATGCAGAGGGAACAGCGGGACCACTGAATTTGCCAGAGATTTGGGAAACGGGGTACTGGGGTCGGTCCTCTGAGTCAGGGCTCCTGGCAGTGCAGGTCGCCGTGGCCAAGCCCACCGTGGCCAGCGCGGGCACTAATGCCCGAGGTGTCCTATGCCATCTCCATCTCCTGGGACAGTCAGCCTCTAGGACATCCCGCTGCCGGGGAGCTGAGGGAAGCCTGCTCCATCCACCTGCGGCCCATCCCTGCCGCGCAGCTGGAGGGCGCAGGAGGCCCGGGGCAGCCCTCCTCCTGCTCCAATATTCACCTTCAGATGGACGCAGGCCCTTCTCCAGCCTCCCGTGCGGTGGTCTCTCCCCTTCCCCGTCATGCTCAGCACCTCTCCTCGGCAGTTTTCCATTTAGTGTTTGTAAATATATGTTTATTGATTTCAGAGAGGCAGGGAGAGGGAGAAACATCAATGATGGGAGAGAATCACGGATCAGCTGCCTCCTGCACGCCTCACACTGGGGATGGAGCCCGCAACCGGGCCTGTGCCCCGATGGGGAACTGAGCCGAGACCTCCTGGTTCGTAGGTTGATGCTCAACCAAAGAGCCACACCGGTGGGCTCCAGTTTATTGACATCCTTGTAAAAGCGAGGACCTAGCTCCGAGGCGGCAGAGCGAGGGGAGCCTGTCGGAGTGTCCTGGTCTGGGCACTGTCACCCTTAGTCCTCCCAGCACTGCCCAGGCCACCTTCCGGCCGAAGCCGGTGAATGTTTCAGAGAAGGCTTTGCTCTTGGGGAGAAACAGCTCGACGACAGGGACATACCTGACGCCATCAGGATGGGGCTCCAGGTTGCAAATACCACCTGCTGGTCTCCTCCTCCCACCTCCTCAGCCAAGATGCCCCATGTGCAGGGCAGCAGCTGGGCATGGCAGCTGGCAAGTCTTGGCAGGGCCTGCACCCCTCCAAGGGCCTGCACCCCCCAAGGGCCTGCACCCCTCGCCAGCATCCGCAGCCCCTGCTGGCTGGTCTGGGCTTGCTCTGCCTCAGTCTCGGTGGAGGCGGAGGGGGGTCAGGCCCACAGATCCCACCCTCACCGGCCTCAGCACTGCCCGCCGTGGCCTGGTGCCGCCCTCCACGTGGCTGGGACATGGAGGAGGGGCCGTGCCCTTCCCTGGGCTGCCGGGCTGGAGGGGCACAGGGCACTCCGGTTGGCAGCAGACAACACACAGCCGCTCAGAACCTGCCCAGCCTGTAACACATGCCGGCTCTTCCTCTTCCTGGCGGACTTGACCTTTCCACGTCCTTCTAGAAACACTGTATGTTAAGGAGCTAGTCCATAGGAATCAAGCCCAAGGGAAGGAATGAAAAAGACTGTTTTGCATTTATTTTACTTTGAGGAGGAGGTGGGAGGCAGGAAAATGCAAAAAACAAAAAAACAAAACAACAACAACAACAACAAAAAACACACAACAACAACATTGCGAAAATTGGATTCCAAACTAATTTCTGCCCCTGCAGACCTCAGAGGGTGGCTTGGGCACGCTCAGGAGCAAATCCTTCGGGCAGACTGGCTGTGTGCGGGGTCTGCCTTTGCAGTACCTGCACCCCAGCTCCCTTACAGAACAGCTTTTTCATTAATAAAGGAAACACACGCCTTTCATACCCACCATTTATGTGGCATTGCACCCACACGTCCAGGAGGCCTGTGCCCCTCGCCCCAATGTATGGATTGCAGGCAGCCTGTGTCCGATCACATGGCATAATACCCACCAGGGTCCTCAGCTTCTAAAGCTGCTGGGGTGCCTTCTCTCACAGTGGCATGGGGGACAGAGCCCCCATCAGTGAGCAGCATGCCAGAAGACGGGCCTCCCAACAGCTCTGGCTCCATGCGCCCGCCAACTGGAATCCACCCTGTGCAGGATGGACACTCCAGGCAGGTGCAGGGCCAACTATGTACTGTGGATGAACTTTTCCTCCTGTTTTCTACCTCAACCTTCTTAACAACTCAGGGAGGTGGGTCTGGTGATGGTCACTTCTCCGTGTCAGTTGGCCTAGCTGAGTGATGCTGGGTGGCTGGTAAAACCTCGCCATGAGGGTATACCTGGAAGAGACTGGGCTTGGAATGGTAGACGAGTAACAGAGATGCCCTCAGCTGGGCACCCAGGTGCTGAGGCCCCAGTGGGACAGAAGGTGGAGGCAGGGTTACCACTTGGCTCGGCTCAGGCCCAGTCATGCATCTCCCATCCTTGATCATCGGGGCTCCTGGTTCTTGTAAACTCCCATTGGGGCTGCACCATCTGCCCTGCATTCTCAGGCCTTCAGACTTGGCCTGAACGATATCACTGGCAGATGGCAGAGTGGGGGACTTCTCTGCCTCCTCAGTTCCTGTAATCTCTCTATATAAAAGGCTAACATGCTAAGCGTCCAACTATCTGGGGAATGATGTCACATAGCAATGCCCAGCTTCCTCTTTTTAGTGACGACTAGCCTCCTTGCAGTCTCTTCAGCCCAGGAACATGACTTGCTTTATAGCCAGGTGTAAACATTTTACACTGTAACCAAATGTCTATGAAGTGTTTTCCCGTGCCTCATCTCATTTGATCCTCACAGAAGTCCTGGAGTAGGTAGATAGGAGACTCAGTGAAATCCTATTTTTTTTTCATTAGCCAGAAAATGGAGATTTAGAAAGCTTAGAAACTTGACCCGACTGAAAAGTAGTAAGAAATGGTGGACCTAGCCGAAACTGGTTTGGCTCAGCGGTAGAGCATCAGCCTGCGGACTGAAAGGTTCCAGGTTCGATTCCGGCCAAGGGCATGTACGTTGGTTGCGGGCACATCCCCGTTAGGGGGTGTGCAAGAGGCAGCTGGTCGATGTTTCTCTCTCATTGACATTTCTAGCTCTCTATCTCTTTCCCTTCCTCTCTGTAAGAAATCAATAAAATATAAAAAAAAAAGAAAAGAAATGGTGGACCTTAAAAATGACTTCAGGTTTTCTCATTGCACAGAATATAGTCAAACACAGCTGTAGTTAAATATTTTACCCATTGTTCTCCCTGTGTGATCTACAATAATAATATACTTTGTGTTTATATTTTCTGCTGTGATGCTAACAATTACCTGAAAGGGAAGTTGGGGTGCTTCACTGGGCTGGAAAAAGTTTAGATACATCAGAAAGCAGGTCTAATTAAGCAAGTTTATTCTATATCTATAGAAGGCTAAGTTGATTTGTGCATGTACTATACATATAAAGCTCTCGATGGCACCAATTGCACATGTATGTTTCCATCTGACATTGTTGATTGTGAATTTGGTTGACCTATTATAGAGAAAGGGCGAATAGCTATATTAAAATATTCCTTCTAATTGATTTTCTTTCAATGTGCACAAATTCATGCACTGGGCCTCTAGTTAGATAGATAAATGGGTAGATAGACAGATGATAGAGAGATAGATAGATAGATAGGTAGATAATAGATAATAAACAGGAGATAAGTAGATATGTAGACAGGTGATAGAAAATAGATAGGTGGTAGATTATAAAAAGATCTGATAGATAATAGATTGATAGGTACATATATCTCCTATTGGTTCATTTCTCTGGAGAACCCTGATTAATACAGTCCCATTATTATTACTAGAGGCCTGGTGCATGAAATAGGTGCACGGGGGCAGGGGGGTCCCTCAGCCCAGCCTGCACTCTCTCGAAATCTAGGACCCCTCAGTCCTTGCGGGATCAGGCCTCAACTGGCAGACGGACATCCCTCTCACAATCTTGGACCCTGGCCCCTAAGTACTCGCCTGCCTGATCACCCCTAACCACTCTCCTGCCTACCTGGTCACCCCTAAGCACTCTGCCTGCCTGACTGCCCCTAACTGCCTCTGCCTGCCTGCCTGATCACTCCTAACCACTTGCCGGAGGGCAACCACCAGGGCGAGGGGCTGTGGTAGTTCTGGTCTCTGATTGTTCTGGTCATTCTGCCATTTCAGTCACTGAGCTTTCATTATATAGGATTCCTAGAGGCCCAGTTCACAAAATATGTTCATGGGAAAGGGGGGCAAAAGTCCCTCAGTCTGGCCTGCATCCTCTTGCAATCTGGGATCCTTCAGTTGGACATCCCTCTTGTAATCTGAGACTGCTGGCTCCTAACTGCTCTCCGGAGTGCCTGCCTGCCTGCCTGCCTGCCTGATCGTCCCTAATCGCCTCTACCTGCCTGATTGCCCCTAAGTAATCTATCTGCCTGTTTGATTTCTCTAACTGCCTCTGCCTGCCTGATCACCCCCACCCTCTGCCTGCCTGATCACCCTTAAGCACCTTTGCCTCAGCCCCTGCTTCTGTGGCTTTGTCAGGAAGGACATCTGGAATATGTCCAGAAGGTTCTTCAGCTGTCCATTCTAATTAGCATATTGTTTTCATTATTACAGGTTATTATTATTATTTCAGTCCTCTTATTATGTGGAGGGGGCGAATGCCAATGCCCCACGGCAGACAGCACTACCGAGAGAAATCGTGGGGATTTGGAGCAGAGGCACCCCTTGCGGAGGAGCTGAGCCCAAGCAGGACTTTGATCTAAAGAGAACTTAGAGGCCACTTTTCTGACCAGGACGATGAAGCCTCAGGGAAATGCCTGCCCTGTCCATGTTCATTCCCATCTGAGACTCCGCTGGGCTGACCTGAGAAGACCACACCTGAAGGTGGAGAATACCATTGTCTACACGTGAGGGGCCCTGGGAGAGAATTCACTGTGATCCTCCTTTAAAAAGAAAAAAAAGAATCCGACTGGCGTTGCTCAGTGCTTGAGTGTCAACCTATGAACCAGGAGGTCATGGTTCAATTCCTGGCCAGGGCATGTGCCTGGGTTTCAGGCTTAATCCCCAATGTGGGGTATGCAGGAGGCAGCCAATCAATGATTCTCTCTCATCATTGATGTTTCTATTACTCTCTCCCTCTCCCTTCCTCTCTGAAACTAATAAAAATATATTAAAAAATAAAACTGTGAATTTAACACTAAATAAATTAAGAAAAAAAAGAAAGAAGGAAGGAAGGGAGGAAGGGAGGGAGAAAGGAAGACCCCACGACAATGTTATTCTTAGAGCTGGGGAATGGCTGTGAGCTAGAGAACCCCACAATACAATGGCGTCAACAGTGTGGGTTACTCCCTCTCACTCACAGTCCCGGGAGGTGGTCCCGGAGGGGGCCAGGCCCCTCCCAGCTCACCCTGACCATCCCTTCTACGGGCCTGCTCTCGTGGCCCCAGTGGTGCATGGGCCGCGGGCCTCACAGCCAGGCCTGAAGGCCGGAGGAGACAAAGGGCAGAAGTGCCAGCCTGATATGGAGACACCACCAGGAGCAGTCCGCTGGGCTCACTGGTCAGAACACGGCCCAGGGCAGTGCCTGGCTGCAGGGGGAGCTGAGGCTCAGTCTTTATTTGGGCAGCACGTGCAGGTGGAAAACGGAAGGTCTATTTCTGTCTCAGCCACAACAATCCAGGGAGCGGACGCATCGATTTGCTTTTCGAGTTGGTGTCATCCGGGCCCTTTTCAAATGACAGAGCCCAGAGGGTTGCCATTATCTGACATTTGTCCAAGGAGATCCTCAACCTCTTTCCTTTGTGGAGACAGTGAGGAGCCATTAGAAGATAATTCATTAGGAGATAATTCATTAGGAGAGTAAGTCATTAGGAGAGTA